TGGAACTAGTTCAGTTTGTAGTACTCACTGGAACAAGCTCTACAAGTAAGGCTAATAGAAACTAGTTCAGTTTCTAGTACTCACCGGGAAAAGTCGTACTAGTAGAGCTCAATGGAACTAGTTCAGTTTGTAGTACTCACTGGAACAAGCTCTACAAGTAAAGCTAATCGAAACTAGTTGAGTTTCTAGTACTCATCGGAAAGAGTCGTACTAGTACAGCGCATTGGAACTAGTTCAGTTTGTAGTACTCACTGGAACAAGCTCTCCAAGTAAGGCTTATCGAAACTAGTTCAGTTTCTAGTACTCACCGGGAAGAGTTATACCAGTACAGCTCATTGGAACTAGTTCACTTTGTGATACTCACTTGAATAAGTTCTACAAGTAAAGCTCATCGGAAATAGTTTGGTTTCTAGTACTCTCAGAAAAGATTCATACTATTACAGCTCATTGGAACTAGTTCAGTTTGTGGTACGCACTGGAACAAATTCTACAAGTAAAACTCATCGGAACTAGTTTAGTTTCTAGTACTCATCGGTAAGAGTCATACTAGTACATCTCATTGGAACTAGTTCATTTTGTAATACTTACTTGACCAAGTTCTACAAGTAATGCTCATCGGAACAGTTTGGAGTACTCATTGGAAACAGTTATACCATTACAACTCATTGGAACTAGTTCACTTTGTAGTGCTCACTTCAACAAGTTCTACAAGTAAAGCTAATCGGAACTCGTTTAAAGCTAATCGTTTAAAGCTAATCGGAACTTAGTTTGTAGTACTCATTGGATGCAGTAATACTAGTACAGCTCATTAGGACTAGTTCAGTTTGTGAAACTCCTTGAAATGAATTCAATAGGTAAACATCATCTCAACTAGTTCAAATTTATCAGAAAAACTGGAATACTTCAGCTTGTTACCCTTGTTATATGTACATAGATCAAGAAGTAAACTGGAACTTGATCATTAAGTAAAACTTATTGCGACTAGTTCCATAATTAATGCTTTCTGGAACCAGAACCATAAATAATGTACGTCGACTAGTGTTAGTATCGAAGGGCCTATTGCCTGGGATCTATTTACAATTCGAATTCGAATGTCTGGAATTTAAATGATTTGTTTACGTCACATTTGAGCAGAGCCCGAAGTGACAGAAGCGGAAACACCACGACAGCAGCCCACGTGCCAAGGGGGCGTGGCACTCAGTAAATGAACAAAATAAGTGCAGTTTTGTTGTAGAGCTGGATTTATTTATTTTTTCATTGTATTCCTAGAGTGATTACAAAATAGAAGAAAGAGGAAAAAAATAGACACGTTTTACTAGCTACAGCAATTCCACGGCATTCACACACACACACACACACGCGCGCAGACACATAGACAACAACACTCACATACACATACAAAGATACGTAAACACATATACACATATACACATGCACGCAATGGGTGTCCGTCAACAGTCAGGGCTCACTGTATCTCCTCGTTGATCAGCTTCTTCAGCGTGCACTCGCCGGCGCCCAGCTTATGGAGTATGGCGAGTATCTCCTCGCGATAGCGATCCTTGTGGGCCAGCTCCTCGGGCGTGTACTCCTCGGCGCCGATGCGCGTCATGCGCCAGATGACGTTCAGCTTGGCCTCGATCAGCACGTAGTTGGATGGCGGACAGAAGCGCGGGCACAGCTCATTGATGAAGTGAATCATGTCGCGCACGCTGCACGTGTTGATCCGATTGTTGATCGTGTTGAGGGCAAAGTCCTGGTAGCGCGCCATCTTGGCATGCGGAAAGACGTTCTCGCAGCTCAGGCACCGCCAGTCCGGCTGCAGCGTCTTCGTCTGCACGGGAATGACCAGGCCCTTGCAGCCCTGCTCCCGGCAGAACAGAGCCGACAAATACGTTCCGTTCTCCTGCAACACAACAAATGGAAATCGATCAGACACAGCCGAGCTGACGGCCAATGGGTGCAATAGTATAGGGGTGAATCCAATTGGATTCCACTTGGCATGAAATTCAAATGCATGCCGAACAGCTGGCAACGCTGTGCCCAGCAGAGGCGAGTCTTTTACAACACTGGCTGCTGCTTGCCAGATAGATGTATTTGCAATAAAAGCTGGCAGCACGTGAATTTTGAATTGACTGGAAATGGCACTACTGGAAAGTTTTAGATCGAAAATGATTTTATATTTACACAAAAGATAAGAAAGAAACTTAATATTCATGAATAATTGAAATAAAACCAATCATAATAATAATATATGTATATAGACATTACGGAAGAGCAAGCAAATGAATATTCAGAAATAATTAAAATTTTTATGAATAATAATGTTAATAGTAAGAATAATAAGATACAGATATTATTCAAGTGAATGCAAGCTAATAATCAGAA